TCAGACCTTTCAGACAACACAACAAAATGTGTCAAATATAATCACAGGACAGGGGGCTCTGCACTCAGCACAATCAGGAGACCAGGAATAGTGGTTTTATTGAAACATAAAACAAAGGATGGGGCTTAGGCAAAACATTTTTTAGGTCCATTGAAGACACGTCCTGTGCATTAAATTACCATATTTTTCAGACTTTAAGTCGCTCTGGAGTATAAATTGCACCAGCCAAAAAATGCGTAATGAAGAAGAAAAAAACATATATAAGTCACACCAGACTATAAATTGCATTTTTTGGGGGAAATGTATGTGGGGGAACCAACATTTCCTGTTGAAAGTCAAGTTCTAGTAATAACAATAGAAGAGAGAACAACAGACTGTTAACGTCACATATGAACAGTTCTTCAGATAAACTTTAACATAAACAACAGAACAGAACAAGTTTAACAAACTCTCCATCCCACTCCAAATCACTAAATCCATTCAATTCTTCATCCTCAGTGTCACTTCTGAGCAACTCAGCCTCGATCTCCGGATGTAAACAGAGCGCCGCTTCCTCTTCTGTGCAGCTGTTGTCAGACTCAGCATCAGTTCCAGTTACAGGGTGGTTTTGGAATCACTGAAGTTCAGGCTTTGTCGATTCATCCCGTGCCTTCCAGGAAAGTTACATGGTGCACCCTCCCAGTTCCCGTAAAGCTGTGTTCTCCATCCCCACTTTCCACCCATCCCTCACAAGTTTCTCGCTCACTTTTATCAGTATGTAAATTGTCCCACGAGGAAGGGAAAAACGCTGGACCGTTGCTGTGGATGTAAGTCCCTGCCCCTCCCTCCGCTGGGACTGTCGGATCATAACTGCGTGCATCTGGTGCCCTCATATAAAACTGTGCTCAGGAGGGAAAAGGTAGAGACTAGAGAGATAAGATCTTGGAATGAGGAGTCCATTGTTGCAGGAGTGTTATGAATACACAAACTGGGACTCGTTTATAGACAGCTGGGGAAATAACCTGAATGAACTGACAGATGTAGTGTGTTCATACATTGCTTTTTGTAGAGACATGATTGTACCTTCTAGACCAGGGGTGGCGAACACGCGGCTCTTGAGCCGCATGCGGCTCTCGGCCAATAAGCATGCGGCTCTTTGCCTCATCATATTTTTCTATATACTGTGGCTCTTTGCCTCGTTTCATGTTTAGTTTTTTTTCCTCTTAAACCACACTCGAATCCATCAGAGGGTATTAAAAACAAATAATAAATAATATTTTAAAATTTAATTTGGCAGATTGGGTGTTTTTTCTGCTGCTCCGGACACGCAAGTCACTGCCAATCATCTTCGCGGGTTACGTCTAATGCCGGGAAATGAAGGAAACATTTCATGAGCTGCAGACTGTTACCCTCATGGTCAAAATGGCAAAACACTGAATTTAGACCACGTCATGAAACCTGTGATGGAGATTGTGAACTACATCCGTACGCACGCTCTTAATCACCGGCAGTTCAAAAACCTCATTGCTGAACTTGACGCAGACTTGCCTGGTGACCTGCCACTGCACTGCGCTGTGAGATGGCTCTCAAGAGGCTCTCAAGAGGCTCTCAAGAGGCTCTCAAGAGGCTCTCAAGAGGCTCTCAAGAGGTAAAGTGGTTTTGTGCTTTTTGAAACTTTTGGAAGCAGTAAAATTGTTTATGGCAGAAAAGAACAAAACTTACCCCTTGAGTTCAGACCCCAACTGGCTTTTGGATTTGGCTTTTTTAGTGGACATGCTTTCACACTTGGATAAACTAAACCTGGATCTGCAGGGGAAATTAAAAACTCTTCCTGATCTGGCACAAAGTGTATTCTCTTTTATTAACAAGTTGAAGCTTTTCAAAGTGCACATTCAAAACGGCAATTTATCCCACTTTCCTTCTTTGCGTAGCGCACAGCAGAAGGCTGCCATTAAAATGAATACAGCGCAGTATGTGACACTGCTTGCGCAGCTGCACGGGAACTTTACTTCGCGGTTTGAGGACCTGCAGCAGAAACGACCACAGATCACTTTTCTCATCGACCCTTTTAATGCAGAGACTGACTGCCTGAAATCCCCGCTTGTCACTGATGAGGCAGCTACTGAACTGGAGATGATTGAGCTACGCGAAGATAACAGACTGAAATCTTTTTTGAAAGAAGGCCCTGTTACGTTTTGGAGAACTGTGCCAACTGAAAAATACCCGTGTGTAAAAAGAGCCGCTCTCAAGCTGCTGTCGATGTTCTCGTCAACATATGTCTGCGAGTCCCTGTTTTCTACCTTGAAACACGTGAAATCAAGGCATCGGTCCGTTCTGACTGACACTCACGTAAAGGAACTGCTCCGAGTGGCTACAACTGAATACACACCTGATTTGCAGAGGATTACTGGAAACAAGAGATGCCAGAAATCCCACTGAGAATATCATCCCATCACTCCAGCAATACTAATTAAAAACTTAGTATAAACATTTTATTGTTTATTTTTTATTAAGTATCAAAATTTAATGATAAAAAATCCCGACATTAGTTTATACATTCAAATAGATTTTTTTTTTTGTGTTTCACTTCGAATAAAATTTCTTTGAACCCTTTTTTACGCGACATTTTTATTTTGCCCTAGTGTAGTTTGGAAAAAACACCTGACTGAACATGCTTGTGTGAATATTTTAATATTCCATCAATTTACATTATACAGGTTCTATCTGTGCATCTGAAGTGTGTTCAGTAGTTGTGTGTGTCAGAGAGAGGCAGAGAATTAGATAGTGAGAAAAAGTGTGTGTGTGTGTGTGTGTGTGTGTGTGTGTGTGTGTGTGTGTGTGTGTGTGTGTGTGTGTGTGTGTGTGTGTGTGTGTGTGTGTGTGTGTGTGTGATGATGAGATGAGAGAGAGGTGCCTGTGTGTGTGGAGGGGGTATCTGACCTCCAGGGTAGTTGCTGTGTTAACTCTGGCTAAGGTGCATTTGATGTGTGTATTGAGGGTGGACACTTTCCTTGAAATGAACACAAGAACAATACTTGTTGTATTATTGTAAGGAGAGGAGTGTGTTATAAGAAATAATATGTTTTTAATTGGGTGTGTTTGTGTGTGTCTGTCTTGGCAGGTCAGTGCGTGGTGTGGCTCTTTGACTCTCACAGTTAAAAATTCCGGCTCTTTGTGTCAAACTTGTTCGCCACCCCTGCACTAGAGGGTTTTAAATCTGACACAGTGTTGGCAAATGAACTGAATTGTTTTTATGACACGTACGGATGTAGTTCACAATCTCCATTACAGGTTTCATGACGTGGTCTAAATTCAGTGTTTTGGACACGAGTTGCTCCCAGTGGATGATGCAATGGAAATTCCAAAATTCGGGGAAGGTGTCATCGCCCTTGCTCTTCTTTAACCACGCAGTCCTCAGAAACCATCCGCGCAAATATTGCCAACTGTGGCTTGTCCTGTATGTCGCATGACTCGTCCAATGCGACACTAAAATAAGCACACGTGTTCAGGTCTGCGTGTAGATCAGATTCAAGCGCTTTGTTTATGTCTGATATTCTGGTTTCAACTGTGTGTCGTGACAGCTGTAGATCAGTGATGGAATCTTGCAGTTTTTTATTATCTGGAGCCAGAGTTTCAATTAAATCCACAAAACACTGTTTTAAAAACTCGCCTTCGCTGTATGGTTTTTTAGCACGGGCAATGTTCCACGCCACTTTATAGGAGGCAAGTGTCACAGTTTCTCCATGCTTGGTCAATTGCTGAAACATTTGAGACTGTCTTTTTACCTGGCTTTTCAAGGTGCTCAATTTTTGCTTGCGTAGTTCAGTACCTTTGGGGAATTCTTTGTCAATATTAGCATGGAGTTTGCTAAAATGACGCTGAAGATTTGAAGCCTTGAAATGTGATATCGTGGTTCTGCATAATAAACAGAGTGATTTGCCATTCCGTTCAATAAAAAAGTAAGCATCTTCCCATTCTTCCAGAAATGTCCTGTGTTCATCTTCATATTTTCGTTTAGCTTTGCATTTTGCCATTTTGACCATGAGGGTAACAGTCTGCAGCTCATGAAATGTTTCCTTCATTTCCCGGCATTAGACGTAACCCGCGAAGATGATTGGCAGTGACTTACGTGTCCGGAGCAGCAGAAAAACACCCAATCTGCCAAATTAATTTTAAAATATTATTTATTATTTTTTTTAATACCCTCTGATGGATTCGAGTGTGGTTTAAGAGGAAAAAAAAACTAAACATGAAACGAGGCAAAGAGCCACAGTATATAGAAAATATGATGAGGCAAAGAGCCGCATGCTTATTGGCCGTCACACTACACTATGCACAGCAACCTACATTCAGTTTGTCCATTAAAATGAACATGTTATTAGGTTCTTTTTTCAGACCAAGAGTTTGTTTTCATACCTGACAGTTTGGACTGCTCACTAGCGTCTTCCTCAGAGTGGTCATGTGATGCTGCTGTGACGTGTCCGGTCAGCTAATTTAAACAGGATTTCTGCAGTCCCACTTCCTCAGGACAGTATCCCAGGTGTGCGAGAGTAAAAAAGCTCCTTGTCCTGGTTTATCCTGCCTCCACAGGTAGGAAGACAGCGCCAAAACCTGTATAAATCAGCTGACCGGACACGTCACAGCAGCATCACATGACCACTCTGAGGAAGAGCGCTAGTGAGCAGTCCAAACTGTCAGGTATGAAAACAAACTCTTGGTCTGAAAAAAAGAACCTAATGACATAAATTATTGGAAGACCAAATGAACCTCATCGGACTAAAATGAACGTAATCGATGAAATTCTTAATGATCAATTATCGATTAATCGATTAATCATGCCCATCCCTAATCCAAACCATGAAAAAAAGTGCGACTTTTAGTAAAAAAAATACGGTACCTAATTTTTACTGTCTTAATAGTGTGAAAAACAGAACAAGTTCATTGTAAACATTTTTCAGTTGTACAAAGTTATTCCCAGTGTTCTGTCGAAATGAGCTACCGGCAGTCTAAATCGACAGTGACGTCTATCGATTCACGCTGCCCCATTGAACTAAGCCACCTTACGTTTTTCCGTTTACAGTTGTATAGATCCAATAAAGCCTGACCCTGACCTCCCCAGTCTGACAACATGTTTCTTTGGATTAGAGACTCGAGTTTGATGCTGTTTGCACACGATGATCACACTTTATATGTTAGTTATGTACAATTTCAACTCATTTGTATGAATCTGTGTAGTTCATTTGGACAGCCGTGTTCTCTTACCGCGTTTGAACAGCGCCGTCTGCAGCTGCTCCTGTGAGACTGCAGGGGGGGTGCGTCCCTGGTTCAGCTCCACGTACTCCCTCCTCACAGTGGCCACAAAGTGTTCCATGTTAAAATACTCCACAGAGCTGAGGCCCCCGGAGTGGTCTGCCTGCTCCCACTCAGGAAACACAACCACGACTGAAACTTCTGACTGAAAGATGTGCGGTACGGACGCGACCATATCCTCATTTCTCCGTACGATCTTTTCACGATATACTTCTCACGGTACAATACTTACTGCAATATTTTGTGGAGGCTTACAAAATTATGAACAAGTCTTTGGTTCAGTCATAAACCAAAGAGTTAAGATTTAAAAGTGCTTCATAAATTATTTCATCGTGTAAACTGGACTGAAACAGAGGGACCTACAAATACAATCATTCTTAACCAGTCATACTCAACCATAACTTCTGAATAACTTCTGACAGTCCATTTGAACTCATAAATGATAAGAGTTTTGAATATAACCTTGGTCTAAATTAGAATTCAACCCAGACCAAACCAAGACTAACCCAGAACTAACTCAGAACTAAACCAGGTCTAAACCAGGACTAAACCAGGTCTAAACCAAGACTAAACCAGGACTAAACCAGGACTAATCCAGATCCTAAACCACGGCTAATCCAGGATTAAATCAGGGCCAAACCAAGAGTAAACCAGTACTAGACCAGAACTAGTCCCACTGTTTGATGAACGACTGATTGATCAGACTAAATTGGTACTAAAACCATGACTGCACCAGATCTAGATCAGGACTCGGGACTAAACCAGGACTAAATGTGGACTAAACCATGACTACACCAGGAGGTCTAAACCAGGACTAAACCAGAACTAAATGTGGACTAAACCAGGACTAAACCAGGACTAAACCAGAACTAAATGTGGACTAAACCAGGACTAAACCAAGACTACACCAGGTGTAGACCAGGACTCAGGACTAAACCAGGACTAAATGTGGACTAAACCAGAACTAAATGTGGACTAAACCAGGACTAAACCATGACTACACCAGGTCTAAACCAGGACTCAGGATTAAACAAGGACTAAACCATGACTAAAGTAGGTCTAAACTAGGACTAACCCAGAACTAAATGTGGACTACACCAGGTCTAAACCAGGAATAAATGTGGACTAAACCATGACTACACCAGGAGGTCTAAACCAGGTCTAAACCAGGACTAAACCAGAACTAAATGTGGACTAAACCAGGACTCAGGATTAAACCAGGACTAAACCATGACTAAAGTAGGTCTAAACCAGGACTAACCCAGAACTAAATGTGGACTACACCAGGTCTAAACTAGGACTAAATGTGAACTAAACCAGGACTAAATGTGGACTAAACCAGGACTAAATGTGGACTAAACCAGGACTAAATGTGGATTAAACCAGGACTAAATGTGGACTAAACCAGGACTAATTGTGGACTAAACCAGGACTAAATGTGGACTAAACCAGGACTAATTGTGGACTAAACCAGGACTAATTGTGGACTAAACCAGGACTAAACCAAGACTACACCAGGTCTAGACCAGGACTCAGGACTAAACCAGGATTAAATGTAGACTAAACCAGGACTAAACCATGACTACACCAGAACTAAATGTGGACTAAACCAGGACTATCCATCCATCCATCCATTTTCGTCCGCTTATCCGGGGCCGGGTCGCGGGGGGAGCAGCCTAAGCAGGGACTCCCAGACTTCCTTCACCCCAGACACGTCCTCCAGCTCCTCCAGGTCAAGACTACACCAGGTCTAGACCAGGACCCAGGACTACACCAGAACTAAATGTGGACTAAACCAGGACTAAACCATGACTACACCAGGTCTAGACCAGGACTAAACCAGAACTAAATGTGGACTAAACCAGGACTCAGGATTAAACCAGGACTAAACCATGACTAAAGTAGGTCTAAACCAGGACTAAACCAGGACTAACCCAGAACTAAATGTGGACTACACCAGGTCTAAACCAGGACTAAACAGGACTAACCCAGGTCTAAACCAGTTTAAAGGATACGTCCGCGGCGGTGAGCAGCAGGAAGGCGGTCCTCAGAGTGAGACCTGGAGAGGAGACCGTAAAACACCGATGAATAAACAATAATAATAAAAACACATTATTCTATTTATTCAAACATAAACCCACTGTTGCCGAAGACAGAGAATCCTCCAGCGTTGAGCCGCGCCAGGATCTGTTTGGCACTGGTCTGTGGGAATGTTTTGTACATGTCTGTTTACTAAAACTGAGGAGTGGTTTGTCACAGAAATAATGATGAGATGAGAAATTGAGGGTCAAATGAACAATCCAGTCAAATATTTTATCTGCAATAGCTCGCTGGACAAAACACTTTATATTTTAGAGGTAAACATAGCTATAACATGTGTAATTAATACAACCCCGATTCCAGTGAAGTTGGGACACTGCGTAAACCTAAAAAAACAAAACAAAACAAACAAAAAAAACAGAATACAATGATGTGCAAATCCTTTTCAACCTACACTACCTTTCACAAGTTTGGGGTCACATAGAAATGTCCTTATATTTGAAAGAAAAGCACTGTTTTTTTCAATGAAGATAACTTTAAACCAAGGGTGCTCAATACATCTATCACGATCTACCAGTCGATCGCCAAGGTCGTGTGGGTAGATCGCCGTGTCTCGTCTCGTGTTTGGACTCGGTCTTGTCTCTCACTCGACGTCTGACACTCAACAAGTGCGATCATATTTCATTACGGCCGCTGCTGTTGGCAATAAACTTGTAGCGGGGTGCAGGAGCGTGTGGGGCGTCTCAGTGCGATCTGTGCGCTCATTTGAAACCCGCAGAGACTCTACGGCACATCACAAACACACACGCTCCCTATGCACGGCTCGTCTGCAACAGCGTGTGCCCTCGTGTACCAGCGGGCATCACAGGGCAGGTTCAACTTCCTAAACATCCTACCTGTCCATCTGCCTCACGTCAGCACGCCGCCCCTCGCCTTTTCACGCTCTCGCTCCTTCCTGCGTACAGCGAACACAAGCCCCTCCCACAGTGCGCTGATTAGAAGAGCAAGACCAAACGTGAAGCAAAAACCAGTCTAAATTTGTGTTCCAGTGTTGGCACAAAGCAGGTCTACAGCATAGAGCGGATCTACAGAACAGACCTACTGCCACATTTGGCTGAAGTTTGTCTAACAAAAGTGCACAAATGCATCTGTGTTTGTCACGATGTGCGTTTGGTTTGGTAAACGTGCAGAGGCTGGTAAATATCACTGCAAAACCAGAAAAGAATGCAACTTCAGTTTGGAACTTTAAAAAACAGGTTTAAAAATCTTCCTTCACTTTTTTCACAGTTTTGTGTAAAGTGCCAGAGGAAGTTCTCTTAAAGAAGAGGTTCTCAAACTGTGGGTGAGGCTCCAAAAAAGGGGCACAGAGTGTTTCAGTGCAGTTTGTTTGGCTTTGAATTAGGTCGATCATTTTTACTTGGTCATTTTGTAAGTAGCTCGCACGCTGAAAAAGTGTGAGCACCTCTGATTTAAACTAATCAGAAATACACTCTATACATCGCTAATGTGGTAAATGACTATTCTAGCTGCAAATGTCTGGTTTTTGGTGCAATATCTACATAGGTGTACAGAGGCCCATTTCCAGCAACTGTCACTCCAGTGTTCTAATGGTCCAATGTGTTTGCTCATTGTGTCAGAAGGCTAATGGATGATTCGAAAACCCTTGTACAATCATGTTAGTACAGCTGAAAACAGTTTAGCTGGTTAGAAAAGCTATAAAACTGACCTTTCTTTGAGCAGGTTGAGTATCTGGAGCATCATCACATTTGTGGGGCCAATTTAATGCTCAAAATTGCCAGAAAAAGAAAACTTTCATGTGAAACTCGACAGTCTATTCTTGTTCTTAAAAATGAAGGCTATTCCATGCGAGAAATGACAAAGAAACTGAAGATTTCCTATTCCTATTTCCTTCCTGTGTACTACTTCCTTCTTAGAACAACACAAACAGGCTCTAACCACAGTAAAAAAGAACAGACATTGGACAGAGGAAAATTGGAAAAAAGTGTTATGGACATACAAATCGAAGTTTGAGGTGTTTGGATCACACAGAAGAACATTTGTGAGACGCAGAACTAGGGATGGGCATGATTAATTGATTAATTGATAATTGATCATTAAGAATTTCATCGATTACGTTAATTTTAATCGACAAACCGAATGTGTGTTGCTGTGTGTAGTGTGACCAAACAGGTGTGTACATGTGTCTCTGCACTCAGAAGGAGCGAGACACAAACAGTGGGTCAGTCTGCAACGTACCGAAGCACAAATGTGGATTTAACGATGATTTGTACAAGAAATTCCAGGCTTACCGTTGCGTTCGGGACAAGTGTGAGTCCATGTGCACAGTGTATAAAGCAGCACATATGTTTCAGTGTCCAGTGGGAAAAAGTTTTACCAGGTGAGAGTCGCGAAATGTGGATGACGAGGCCCCGCCCCCCTCCCCCCGTACGGTGTCCTGGTTTTGACAAACGCAAATCTGGTCACACTAACCTGTATTCACCTGAGTCATGTCTTTTAATCTGACAGAAATTGAACCACATCAGCGACACAAGAGCTGTAGTTTTATCTTCGCTTAGTTTATACAAATTAGCGATGCTGTTTTAAGTTTGGTTTCTGTGAGAGTTGAACAAAACTGAATTAAACACATATAATGTCAAACGGGCTGATGTGGCTCTAGAGTTGTTATGGTTTATATGTCGTAAAGTTGAATTTATTTATGCAGATTAGTAGTGCAGATAGTAATAATAATGATGATCATTTTAATATAAAAACGTTAATGATTAATCGATAATCGATTGTTAGTTCTTCCGGCGATCGATTAAGAAAATTTCATCGAATGCCCATCCCTACTCAGAACAACTGAAAAGATGCTGGAAGAGTGCCTGACGCCATCTGTCAAACATGGTGGGGGTAATGTGATGGTCTGGGGTTGCTTTGGTGCTGGTAAGGTGGGAGATTTGTTCAGGGCAAAAGGGGATTTTGAATAAGGAAGGGTATCACTCCATTTTGCAACACCATGCCAGACCCTGTGGACAGAGCTTGATTGGAGCCAAGCTCATCCTACAACAGGACAATGACCCAAACACACCTCCAAATTGTGCAAGAACTATTTAGAGAAGAAGCAGGCAGCTGGTGTTCTATCTGTAGTGGAGTGGCCAGCGCAGTCTCCAGATCTAAACCCCATTGAGCTGTTGTCCCATTGAGCTGTTGTGGGAGCAGCTTGACCGTACAGTACACAAGAAGTGCCCATCCAGCCAATCCAACTTGTGGAATGGGCTTCTAGAAATGTGGGGTGAAATTTCTCCAGATTATCTCAACAAATTAACAGCTAGAATACTAAAAGTCTGCAATGCTGAAAATGCTGCAGATGGAGGATTCTTTGACGAAAGCAAAGTTTGATGGAAAAAATTATGATTTCAAATACAAATCATTATTTCTAACCTTGTCAATGTCTTGACTATATTTTCTATTCATTTTACAACTCATGGTGGTAAATAAGTTTGACTTTTCGTGGAAAACACAAAATTGTCTGGATGACCCCAAACTTTTGAACGGTAGTGTATATTGAACGGAATAAACTACAAAGACATGATATTAATGTTCAAACTGATTAACTTTATTGTTTTTATGCAAATATTCACTCATTTTCAATTTGATGTCCGCAACACGTTCCAACGTTCCTACGTGCAGAGATTGCAGTGCAGTGCAGTGATGAAATCCCTAAATTCCTTGCAATTATATGTTGAGAAATGTTGTTCTTAAACTGTTGGACTATTTGCTCACACAGTAGTTGACAAAGTGGTGAACCTTGCCCCATCATTGCTGGTGAATGACTGAGCCCTTCGAGGAAACTCCTTTTACACCTGATCATGACACTCACCTGTTTCCAATTGACCTGTTCACAGTGTTGGGAAGGTGACTTTTAAAATGTATTCCCCTACAGATTACAGATTACATACCCCAAAATGTAGTTTGTAACGTAATCCATTAAATTACTTAAAGTGAGTAATATAATCTGAATACTTTGGATTACTTGATATTGTCATGTTTTTTAAAACTACATGAACCACATCCTCCAAATTGTTGTTTGTTCTCTTCAAATTGTCTGTTGAGCCCAAGTCTCCATGAATAGATTTGCTGTAGAGAAGCAAAGACTAGGAAATCTTGTTACGGGCCCCGGCCCTGTGATATTTGTTTAAAGTGCTCCCGTTCTTCTGTAATTGCTTTTGTCTGCGCATGATGCTCCCGGTCCGTGAGCCCTGGACCCAGATGCGTGGGAGTACCTGATGGGGGACGGAGGCTGGCGTCGCAGCGCGTTGGCGATTGGCCCTTCATCCCTGCGCTTCCACCAATCCGCGGATGCCACCTGTGATAGCGGGGGATTGAAAAGGGACCATCTTCCACCTGCTCGAGGCGGCTGGATCACTGCAGCCAGCTCACCCTTTTGTTTGATGTTTGGGTTGTCTCAGTTTGTTATATTGCCGGCTGTTGCCTTGTTTAGTTCGTTGAGACACCTTTTTTGTTCGCAGTAAACCTTGAGTTAGATTTGGTACATTGTATTTAGTTAGGGCTCTTTAGTTTATTAGATTATTTTGTTTAATTCCTATTTATTTTCACCTTAATTGCCTGTTTTTTTTTTGTCTTCCCTTACACTGTAAATAATAAATGCACAATTTTTAGTTAAACCTTTAACATCCTGTTTTTTTTTTTTGTTACTTCCCTTTCTCCCCGAGCAAAGGGGACGTAACAGTCTTCACATAAGATGTTTTGTCTGCTAAAAGAAAATAAAAACCTCAGTGTTTCCTTAACCATATTATAAATATTATTGATAGAGAAATGATTTCTATATGAGATCACTGCTGCTTTAAATTATGTCCACCTACTGTTAGTGTCAGATTGTTTATTTAAAAATCACTTTCAGTACAAACATAAAGGCGCCAGCCCAATAAAAATCTGTAATATTTGATGTTTTTTACTCAAAATGATGCAGAATCAGGTTCTTAACAACAATGCTTATTAACGACCTCGTCCATTGTGTGACTGACGCCACCAATCGTTAACAAGCTGTTTATGTAACTTTTAATGCGCGCGGTCTGTTTGGGTTTCCGGCAATGAGTGGAATTACCAAAATAAAATTATTTTTAAAAAAAAGTGATATAGCCCAAAATGTGAAAACAGGAAAATACCGCCATGTAATCCATTAATTTCAACAAAGTAACTGTAATCCAATTACCACTCATGGAAACAGCAACTGTAACTAAATACAGTTACTCATAATTTGTATTCTGATTATGTAACTCCGGTACATGTAATCTGTTACTCCCCAGCACTGCATGTTCACCTGTGGAATGTTCCAAACAGGTGGATTTTAAGCATTCCCCAATTTTCCCATTCTTTTGTTGCCCCTGTCCCAGTTTTATTGGAACATGTTGCAGGCATCAAATTGAAAATGAGTCAATATTTGCATAAAAACAATAAAGTTTATCAGTTTGAACATTAAATATCATGTCTTTGTAGTTTATTCGGTTCAGTATAGGTTGAAAAGGATTTGCAAATCATGGTATTCTGTATTTTTTTTAAGTTTTACAGAGCGTCCCAGCTTCATTGGAATTGGGGTTGTAATAAATATATATTTGAAAATGAAAGGAGTACTATGCAACATTTTACATAACATATGCCCTTTAGCAACACATTTTAAAGCCACAGTACGTCACTTAGGCCAAAAACGGATGACTTTTATACCAGTATTTAGAGAAAAACTTGCAGTCTTTCTAAATTTGCAGTCTCTTTGAACTAAAATGTCTTCACCTTTCTTTAAATAAACACCAAACCTGATCAAATACCAAGGATTAGATTGAAGTAGGTCAGAGTTCACGTACCTCAGCATCGCCACCCTCCTGAAAACACAAAAAACACGTCAAACAGAAGAAAAAGAATTGGTAACACTATAATAACTACACCTTATTTAGCCTTAATAAAGCATGAACAAAGACTTAATTAATAATGATTCACGCTTAGTAACTACTTAATTACTACCTGAATTAGCACTTAACTTGCACTTAATTGGCCTGTGCTGTAAATAGTTACTCAATACTTCTTAATTACTCATGAACTAACCATTTGCATGTTTACAAATGCATATTTAAGTACATATTTGAGCATTTATTAATCATTAGTAAGATATGAGAGAATGATTTACTAATAATGTAATGCAATGATGATTCAGGCAGCTGTTATCTGTTAGTTAAGTCTTTCTGAGAGTTTTTCTAAAGTGAAGACTAATTATGTTTATTAAACATTTGTTAAGTTTGGTCAAATTCCAGAGAAACAATAATGCATGACTAGTAAATCATTCTCTCATGGCTTATTAATCATTAATAAATGCTCAAAGTTGTACTTAAATATACATTTACAAATGCACACACAAATGGTTAGTTCATGAGTAATTAAGTAAGAAATACTTATGAGTAACTATTTACAGCACAGGAGAATTAAGTGCAAGTTAAGTGCTAATGCAGGTACTAATTAAGTAGTTACTAAGCGTGAATCATTATTAATTAAGTCTTTGTTCATGCATTATTAAGGCTAAATAAGGTGTAGTTATTATAAAGTGTTACCAAAGAATTCAATCAGAAGTCTAGTCATATGCACTTGGAAAAAAAACAAAAACAAAAACAAAACATCTTACGCTATTTTCTGATCTATGTTATAATGTAGTTTCCTCATCACAAAACACACCTGGAGTTGTGTTTTATTTCATCACACAAACTCTACAGATTCAGGTTAGTTTGAGTTCTTCTCTCAAACAGAAAACAACTCTGTTCCACCTTGTGATGTCACGTGGTAATAGAGAAAATGCTCCATGCACCTTCATTTAGAATCATTTGGATCATTTCAGCCCTGGAATTGCCGATCTCTGCTGAACAAAAGGTAAAAGGAGCTGTTCACTTTAACACTACCGATATGGACTATTTCAGCACTGTCATATTCTTGTGAAACGCAGCATTTTAAGCATTTTTGCAACCCTGATCATGTGTGAAGATGTTTGTCTCTTGTTTAAGATCATTCACAATACTGCTGCTGTTTCTCTGAGCTCTGAAACCACCTCCCGAGCCGCTCCTTCCACTGAGAGAGCAGGATCCACAAACCCAGGGCAGTATTTGGAAACTCAGCCAATCCATGTATCATTCGTTCATTCGTTTTTCAGAATAAAACCAAAAATAAGAAAACGAAAAAACAAGTATTTGTGTTTAAATGAATAATGGAAAAAATGGATAATGGACGTTTCCCGGTTTCCGTGACTTAAACTGCGATGATGGACTTTTTTGCCGCATACAAACTGATCCAGGACTGAACCAGGACTGAGACTGGGACTGAACCTGGGACTGAACCTGGGACTGAACCAGGACTAATCACAGACTGAACCAGGACTAAACCAGGACTGAACCAGGACTGAACCAGTACTGATCCAGGACTGATCCAGGACTGATCCAGGACTGATCCAGGACTGATCCAGGACTGAGCCAGGACTGAACCAGGACTGAACCAGGACTGATCCAGGACTGATCCTGGACTGAGCCTGGACTGATCCAGGACTGATCCAGGACTGATCCAGGACTGATCCAGGACTGATCCAGGACTGATCCAGGACTGATACCGGGACTGAGATTGTTACCAGACCAGGACTGACACTGGAATCTGGTTTAGTCCTGAGATCAGTCCTGGTTCAGTCCTAGTCCTGGTTCCGGTTTCAGTCCCGGTCTCAGTCCCCGTCTCAGTCCTGACCTGGTCCCAGTCTGGTCCCGGTCTCAGTCCTGATCAGTCTATGCAGACATCGCAGTTTAAGTCACGGAAACGGGAAACGTCCATTATCCGTTTTTTTCCATTTATCATTTAAACACAAAATCAAAAACTGAAAAAAACAAATCGTTATCTGTTTTTGGAGACAAATAATGAAGAATTTTTTTTATTTTTTCTTAATCTTATAAGTTTTCTTATTTTTGGTTTTATTTTTAAAAAAATGAACGAACGATACACGGATTTCAGCCAAGGCTGTCCATCAGTGGAACATGTGACCAACAGAGATGATCACATGGACAAACTGCAGCACATTCTCACACCTGGTGAAACCGCGACTCCTCTCAAACAAAAGCTTCACCCATATTGTGGACCGAGGAGTGTCTGGAGAGTGTGTCATGTGAAGTGAATGAACTGAATGATGATTTTGATAAGGAGGATGATTTTAAGGTGCTGAGACAACTGGGTGTGAATGAGTTTACAGAATTGTTATGATCCAGTCATTATAAAAACATTCTCTTTGTATGTTTGATTTTATGAAATAGAACATCAACCTGCCCGGGGACAACAGGTGGAAATGAGAACTGGATCTACAACCTGGAACAATACAACTCTCCTGTTAAGATTCATGTAGATCAGGGGCGACAAACTCATTTTGGTCCGGGGGCTGTATCCAACCGTCTTTGATCCCAAAGGGGCCGGATCAGAAAAGTCATGTCATATAAACCCCAAAATAACAAGTTCAAATATTTGTGCAGAGAAACACATCTATTACAGAAATCTTTTTTTAATTGATGAACTCTTTCTTTTACAGAATATTATAATGAACAACCTGAAACTTTAAGAAAAATGCAATTTCAACACAATGTTTTAACATGAACTTGTATGTAAATAGGAATAAGTCCTTTTTTCTTGTAAAATCCTGCACACGGATCCACTTTTCTCATGTTAGACATTTTGTTGATGAGGGTGTCACGGTCAACAGTCAAAACGATCGTCCTTTAACTCTTTCCCCCTTTGACGCCTACTTGGAACAACCCATACATATATCAGCAGTGTTGGGAAGGTGACTTTTAAAATGTATTCCCCTACAGATTACAGATTACAAACCCCAAAATTTTGGATTACTTGATTTGCTGTAGAGGAGTAAAGATGAGGATATCGTAACATAAGATGTTTTGTCTGCTAAAAGAAAAGAAAAATATGTTAAATCCTGTTTTAGACCTGGTTTTAGTCCTGGTTTAGATCTAGTTTAGACCTGGTTTTAGTCCTGGTTTAGATCTAGTTTAGACCTGGTATAGTTTCCAGCAATGAGTGGCCCAAAATGTGAAAACAGGAAAATACCGCCGTGTAATCCATTTATTTCAACTAAGTAACTGTAATCTAATTACCACTCACTGAAACAGTAACTGTAAATGAATACAGTTACTCATAATTTGTACTCTGATTACGTAACTGCAGTACATGTAATCTGTTACTCCCCAACACTGTATATTAGTATGTGTGGGTTGCAGTGGCCTCCAACTATCACAGCCTCTGTTTACATGTGAAAAACCAAGCCATTTGTAATGATCGTCAAAGCACTTCTTTAGTGATACAGCGGAGGTGTCAAAAGACGTCATTAAGGAAACAAGGGAGGGTCATCAAATGTCGACTTCATGGGGGAAAGAGTTAAGAGCGTTTGGAAAGAGACAAGTCTTCATTTGTGCTGCTCTGGAGGGAGGGGCCACGTACAGAGACACTGGAGACGCTGCTGTGATAAACACCACAGAAAATTACCAATATTTTAATAGAAAATATAATTCAAATATTTCAGTAGAAAATCAGCCGAGGGCCAGATTAATGGTCTTGGAGGACCGGATCTGGCCCCTGGGCCGTATGTTTGACACCCCTGATGTAGATTGTGCACTGTCCCTGTCTCATTAAATAAAAAATAAATATACTAAACTGCTTCATGACATCACAATGTGGAACTGAGCATTTTGAGCTTTGGAGATGTAGTAGACAGACTAATAAACCTGTATTACTCAAAAATGCGTGGGGGTGTAGTGCAATGAGATTCATTTGGTCTTCCGATATTTTATGTTATTAGGTTCTTTTTACAGAGTTTTGTTTCATACCTGACAGTTTGTTCTGCTCCCTGTGCTCTTCCTCAGAGTGGTCACGTGATGTTGCTGCTTTGAACAAGTTTTGGTGCTGTCTTCCTACTGGAGGAGGCAGGACGACAGCACCATCTGCAGTCCCACTTCCTCAGGACAGTATCCCAGGGGTGTGAGAGTAAAAAGACAACTACTCGTCCACCCGAAAGACAAAACAGAACCATAAATGTAATGTCATATACGAAATACCCTGCATGTCCTGCAACAGAACCTACATCGAAAAAAGAAAAATAGGACAGAATGCAAGAAGGAAACAGCGAAGGCGAAACACGAGCCACAAAACACAAAGCAGAACAGGAACAAGTCAAATTGTCCATCTCTGACACTGGAAAAGAGAGAAGCACATTATGGACTGGGACAGAGAAAACATCACTGGGACAGAGGAAAACAAACATCGAAATACAAAAACATGCCCACGGGATGATAAACCAGGACAAGGGGCTTTTTATTCTCACACCCCTGGGATACTGTCCTGAGGAAGTGGGACTGCAGATGGCGCTGTCGTCCTGCCTCCACCAGTAGGAAGACAGAGACAAAACCTGTTTAAATCAACTGAGCGACACGTCACAGCAACATCACAAGACTCTGAGGAGGAGCGCTGGTGACAGTGTCGGGAAGGTGACTTTTAAAATGTAATCCCCTACAGATTACAGATTACATACCCCAAAATGTAGTTTGTAACGTAATCCATTAAATTACTTAAAGTGAGTAACGTAATCTGAATACTTTGGATTACTTGATTTACTGTAGAGAAGCAAAGACCAAGAAATCATAACATAAGATGTTTTGTCTGTTAAAAGAAAATGAAAAGCCCAGGGCTCGGGTCATTGGATCAGAAAACAACAAGTTCAAACACTGGATCAAGGAGGACGGTGAAATCAGGAAACGAGGCACAGACAGCATTAACCGTGATGACAGAGCGTTCCTCCTTTCACACACCTGGGACACCCTCCTCCAGAGACACCGGGCAACGGGAGGCGTGGTCAGTCTGAGCGACCTGCAGGTCCATCAGGTCTGACCACGCCCACAGGAAGTAACAACAACTGATATACGACACGTCACCACCAACACCAGTGACAGTTCTGAAGATGCAGCAGCAGCCGAAACATGTCAACAAGGTAAATACACTTTACTGCATTGTCTTTAAAAAGAACCTAAGAAGTTAAAGTAGATAAGAAGACAAAATGAACATCATTGGTTTAGAGTCCATTCAGTGTAATAAAAGAGCTTTAACCCTCCATTCTGTTTATTCTTATTATTATCTATGCTGCTGTTGACCTGGACCTGAGTGCAGTATTTCGTTTCTGTGTAGTTTTTATACTGAAATGACAAATAAATTCTGATTCTGATTCTCATTCCTCACCGAGATGCAGTTGTGTGTGGGGAAAGCTTCACAGTTGAGCTCTTGGGGCCAGTTCATGTTGAGCTGCTCCATCATGCGGCCACAGCCCTCTTTGGCCCTCAGGCAGAAGGAGCGGCACGGGCGCTGCACTTCCCCTCGCACACACTTGGGGGCGTAGACGAGGCAGAGGAAGAGGCGGATGTCCACGGCGCAGAAGGTCTGGACGATGGAGTTGAAGAAGGACATCTGGATGGCGGCCTCGCGCTGGGAGCTGTGGCCCAGGAGGTTTGGGACCAGGGTCTCGGAGTAGTACAGCCCCTGGCACATGGGCACCGTGATGGGCTGGCACATGCCCCCAGTGCTGCTCACGCCGAACTGAAACACAAAACCAATGAGCAGAGACACAAGAGACGCACACGCAGAGAGCCCCAGAGCCACAAGTACTCAACTGCAAAAACATAAGTAAAAGTATCACATGAAAAAAAATCTACTTAGGTAAAAGCATTAAAGTACTTGTTTAAAAATGTACTGTAAAAGTAAAAAGTCAAAGCATTTCACACAGATCCTGAGATCCAACAAAGCTTCAAATGTAGTGATTTTGATAAAGATTTCTGATGAATTTGTTCAACAGAAACAATAAAGTCAAGTTTTTTTTTCAGCTGTTTTTAGTTTTATATTTTTGTTTTCTCAGACTACGAACATGTTAAAAATAAACCTTCAGACATTTCAGCAGCTCTCACACAATAGTGAAAAATATTTTTACTTTTCAGTCCCATTCAAAAGTGTAGTGGAGTAGAAAGTACAGGTACCTGCTCTCAAATGTAGTAAAATAAAAGTAAAAAGTATTCATTATAAAACCTACTTATGTAAAGTACAGACACCTACAATTTATACTTACTGCCCTACAAAGGCAAAAGAGCTTAACTCCGTTTTGTCCAGACAAAAGTATTATAGGTCGGGCTCCCAAATTTTGACGACTAGTTGCTATAGAGCTCCGGACCCCACGTGACTCACGGTGGGCGGGCCGCCATTTTGGCAGTAAAAATGGATAGCGCCACCGCTGAATTTTTCAAGCCATCGGAGACTCACTTTAATTCACAAGACATTGAGCTTCAGATCAAAATTAAACGGATTAAACATTGACCGTATAATGCCCCGGGGGTGTTTTTAAAAAAAATATTTCCGCTGAAGAAGACGTCCCAGATCCGCAGTACATCGCCAAATGAACCAAAATTGGTCCGATTGACGTGCCTCTGTTTCCTGGTAGAACAGCAATACCTCCAATTATCAACACAGATGTTCCCTGTTAAGACCACGGGACATCCTCATCTCAAGAGTCATCATGAACTCGTAAAACACAAAAAGCACGGGTAACAACAGCAGCAGCAACAGCAATAAAGAGGAGCCCTCACCGCAGCTCAGATCCCTCAGGACGGGGTCTGCGGTCTGGTCCTTGGTCCGGAGGCTCCGTCCTCCATGTGCTGGTTCCAGACGGTAGCGAGCAAGACCAGTGCTTGATGGACTGGGTCTGAGCTGTTCCGTGTCATCGTCTGCACGCTGGTTCCGTGCGGGAAAAGCGAGAATGCACTGTGGACTACAGGTCTGGACAGTTCGCTCCGGCGGTCAAGAACTGCGGCTGGTTCCGAGGTGATGCAAAGCATCCGGACAGAAGCGTGAATAGTTTGGTGGGTTATATGTTGTTCTGAGCGTCCGACCTCCGCGCTCTTTGTTCCTGGGGAACGTTCTTGTCAGGCCAAGGCTCCTGACACCACTCCCCGCTGTAGCTCCTCTGAGCCCGGCCTGAACCGGAGCTTCTCCCGCTGGTTCAGGACTCTGGTTTGGATCTAGTCCGACTGTAGCATTTCTCACACTAGGCTAAAAGCAGGACATTTTTAAAGTTGAATCAATAAAATAAGCTATTGCCTATTTCCATAAAATTATTTGGTTAATTATAAGCCTAAAATAACAAATGCTGTTTGCTACTTTGGAGCCACACGTTCGCACATTGGTTCTTGCTCTGATCTTTGTGTATTACATTATCTGTATTGGAAAATTGTTGGCAAAATAATTCGGAAATGAATCGCGGCTGCGTCTGGAGAACAATCTGTTATTGTGCTGGAGTCGTACAGCGCGAGCACCTTGTGCCTGATGAGCCGGTATGACGTCAGCTCCCGGAGCTCTATAGAGCGTCTGGAGAACAGATTGTTCTCCAGACGCAGCTGTAATGCGCCAAATCCTGTAGGAAGAAGGACAATAATGTCTTTCCCCTTGATAAAATTCAACAAACATTCTCTTAGTTCCGGCTTTAAATCTTTAATCTGGGGAATCGTTGCCAACACAGAATGTCTGACTTCGTCTACATCCATCTCAACGCTTTGTTTACTGTTCCACAAAAGGGACCCAGAATTTGATTTGACCGGAGCCTGGCTACCCCAGACTTCCATCCATTATAAGAACATATCACCAATGCTGAGTCATCATGTGTTTGTTCACTTCCACAGTGAAACAGTTTGACACAGTGACTTTGCAGTAGTGTGTACAGTATGAAAAAATACACACAGTACTTTCACATTAAAGATCATTGAAGTATAATTGAATACAGAGGTATATTTATTGAATGTGTTCAGACCCTGTGCCAAGACCACAACAAAAACAAGGAGGCCAGAGGTTGGATTTAAAATAAAATGTATTTATGAACTAAATCACAAACAAAACACACACTGTTTCTGCCTTTTGTCTGTACACGAAAACTTATTTTTGTCTCATGATACAAAGACAGAACAGAAACTGACAAATAAGGGTCAAAGGTCAATTTGAGCTCAATATTTTTCATGATGTTTATTCAAATGATAAAGAAGATCTGACATAGAAACAAATGACATGAACTCATTTTTGACCAAACCTGATGTTACTGTGTTCTGTCTTTGTAGGGCAGATTACACTAGACTACTTTATTACTTTTACTTTGTCATGTTGCACCACTGCAAGGGGCCAACACAAAGTAACAGACAGACCTGTCACTCTGGGGGATGAGGCTAACTAGAGGCACTGCTCTGTGTGAGGCTCTGCAACGTGTAACTTTTCCGATGGAGGGTCCGTCAAATGCTTTTCTCTATGGAAATGTCATTGCTTTGTCTGGAATGTTTTACAGTATGGTAATCCAAGCGCTGGATTGTTCACCCACTCATAGAGAACGGGAGCTGGGTTCAGACCGTCGTGAAACAGGTTAGTTTTTCCCTACTGATGATGTGTTGTTGCAATAATAATCCATTTCTATCTTCATGGAGACCAAACCAAACCAGGTCCAATTTCTTTTTGAGTTATAAAACCACAAGTTTAATGTCACACTGTGGAACATTCCAGGCAGAGCAATGACATCTCCCTAAAAACAAGCATTTGACAGACCCCCAAACAAAAAGTTACACAGTGCACATTCAATCTGAACTTTACTTTTACACAATCTGACCAGAAAGTTGGTTTAGTCAGAACCAGTGTTGGGAGTAAAGCGTTATAAAAGTGACGAGTTACAGTAATGCTTTGCTTTTTGCTGTAATGCAGTAATGTGGTATTACAGGAAAAAAAGTGTCATATTTTACTGGATACAAATGTGAGTAACATGTGTCACAATGCTTTGTTTTAACCTGGACTGAAGTGGTGGGTTTTTGATTCACTAAAATCACCGCGATGTCAGCAGCGGTGAAACGCCATCGTTACAGTTCTGAGTGTCGGGACGGGCGCCAGAGGTGCGCCTGAGTAGACCGTCAGGTGACCGCGGGCGAAAGGACCGACGCAGAGCAGCCGACGCAGAGCAGCCGTCGCCCGATCGCACTTTGCAGACACACTGCTCTACGGACTGAGGGTTCTCTCAGGGGCAGAACTAGACATAAGGTCTCCAACACTCTGGCTCACTAGGAAATTATGTCCAAAATGCCAAACTTCCCCTTTGAAGCCAATCTGTCTGTTAGTAATCAACTAAAGAACTGAGTCATTTTTGTGTTTTGCACTCTGGAACACAGCGTCCGGTTGACCCCCATGCATGCTTCCCTTTTGGCAGCAGACAGGTTAAATGCTCTCTAGCATTAGTCACTCTCCCATTTTAGTTGAAAATTAAACTCTTAAACAGGCCCATGAATGCTCGCCCTGATCACAGGCTCCTGAAAATGTGCTGTTTCAATCCATTTTGTATTTTTCCTTGAGTTTGCAGATAATTTTAAAACTTTCGGACAGTGTTTGCTAATCTGCGCATTATGTCTCCATGGTAACTGCTGAACATTCCACCATAGAGCCCCACATGTAGAACACCCCCAGCATGATGGCACTGCAAAGTATCAATAGACCTCATTGCTTGAGTCTGTGCCCTCACCCACATGAGATTTTGAGTTATTTTTTGTGTTTTTAATGACTATACTGTTTAAATAAATAAGAGATGGAACAATACTTTTAATACTTTTTTGGAGGGGTCAGTTTAGGGGTGGGTGATATCTCGATATTTTAAATATATCAAGATATTTCTTAAACTCGATATGAATTCTGACATATCGTATATATTGATATAATGCTTATATTCAATTTTGATTTCTCCACTTCACTTGTTTGTCTTCTCTCTAGTCGCCCCGCACTCTCGCCTCCCTGATTTCACTATCCACGTGAACGCCCAAAGTTGGTGCCAGTGAAAAGCTTCTAGTGCCACGAAACTTTTCCACCATTTACAGAAAAAGGCTACCAGCAGCACATCTCATATTCCACTGAGTCATGTCCTTTAGCCCGAAAGAAGTTGAACCACATGATGGACTGCACTGTTTATGCAGTTTAGTCATGTTTAACTTTTGTTTCTGTAAAACATAAACACATGTGTGCAAAGCTGCCAAAAAAAAACAAAACAAAAAAACACATAATAATCTCAAACAGGCTCTAGAGTCGTTTTGCTTTATATATTGTAAAGTTTAGTAATGTAAATTTTATTTATGCAGAAGATTTGAATGAATAATCTGCTGCAGTGTCACTTGTACAATAGTGTTTGGAAACGTTGGGTTTGATCTGCAGTGGATTGTGGGATTAAACCTCAGAGCTCCTCACTGCTGGATAATAACATGGATCTATTAAAATAAGGAACATCCTGAGCTTCCTCTGCTAAATGAGCTCATGGTTCTGGTTCTGGTTTGGAGAACAGAGTTAATGCAAAGATGAGCTTGTGTTGAGTTGTTTTATTTATGAATGAAAAGAAGGAAATATGTATTATTTATTTTATTTTACAGATAAATTATATATTTTTTTTGTAATCTTAAATGTTCCTATTTGAACTGCCGACCTCTTACACTTTAATAAAAAAAAAAAGACCTTGTGGAGTTTGGCAGATTTGTTTTTGCAGTTTTCAG